TGTCAATTTTTCATTTTGCATGTGTGTTATTATTTGCAGCACAATAGCTATCCTGTATCTTAGAACTTATGTGGTTTGCAATTTTTACATAGACTTCAAAAGCTCAGCCAAGAAGTAGGAAAGAAGACTAATAAATAATTAATTAAAAAATTGAAGTTGCAGAATCTAAACTGCTCAGGATTTATTATACCACTTGGGATCACCTATCTTTCTGATGAGCTGTTCAGCATAGTCAACACAGCCTTGTTTTTCCCCTTCTATCTGCACCTTTTTCTTTCCTTTCTTTCTTCCTTCTTTCAATTTCTTTTGCTGCTGCCTTAATTCATAGTTTAGCTTTCAAGGCAACTCCTTAATAATTTTCTTCTTTTATTCTGGAAAAAAATAATTTAGACAGAAAGAGTTAACTCTTGCTCTCTGTATTTAAATGATAAACAAACAGGAAAAGACCAAAATGGATATTCTTTAGTATTGAGTAAATACAGCATTAGTGGTGGAAGCAATTCAGACTATAAAATCCCAAAATCTTTTCCTTGCTAATGTTTATTAAATTAGTATTTGTTTCCTTATGATTTTTTCTTCCTTTATATTTGAGCATTAAAGATAAGAAAATGATTGGGAGGAAATGAAATGATAGAGTGTTAGAAATGCAGAAGGATTCAAAATATTAATGTAATGCTAAGGATGACTGCGTAACAAATGGTACATTTGCCAGTATGCTTGACCTGATGCAATTAATATTCCAAGTCACGCTTGGGTTTCCATGATGGAAGGTCTGAGGCAGAGAATTCTAGGGGAAAATATATCTATTGTATAACTAATTTCTCCCTCTCACGCTTTTTTTTTTTTTTTTTTTTAATTTCCCCTGACGAGTCAGAACCGTCATCTTAAAAAAAAAAAAAAATCTCTGCTTTCACAACTCATTTGCCATATTCACCACTGGGCCACTGTTCACCAGAAGGGCCTGATGTAAAGAGGTCAGTAAGAAGCTATTAGCAGAGTCCCCTCCTGAGATTTCTTTGGTCTTATTGAGGTGGAAGTTAGCATGACAGTACTGCAAATAACTCAGCTGTAAGTTTTTTTAACAGTTAGCACAGATTTCCCCATAGTGTTTGTCACTTCAGAAAATTGTTCCTGGAAATGAAGTGCTGAAAGCTGGCTTTGACAGAGACCCTTCTTAGTGTTGAAGAGCATGGGTACAGAAAAATGTGTCATCCTCCTTGCAGACCAGAGGTACTTTTTTGTAATGTATGGTAATATTTTGGAGTGTTACATATTTTCTTATAGACTAAAGGTGTGGGAAATATTGAAATCACAGTATGGGGTAATATCCAAGACAGATACTTTTCTATCATTGAAAAAGCAGTATTAAGTACAGTGGTTTTGTGGTTGAGAGAATATTTTATTAAAGCAGGGAAAGAAAATGAAATAATGCTTTTAATACATTGTACTTGTCTCAAGAAGATATGCAAATGTATTAAGTACCAAAGGCTTTGATCCCCCAAATTCTTAGATTTCTATAGACTGCCAGCTCCCTGCAGAGGACAGAATGAATAGGATATTCATCACCACATTGCACAGTGCAAGAAATTCCAAAAACAAGACTAAAACTTGCAGAGATATTTTTAAAAAAGAATGGAAGCAGTTTTTCCAGTGATTGATCTAAACTGGAAAGTAGAATCAAACTCATCCCCTTGTCTCTCCTACCAAACTTTACCAGTTTTAAATCTAGGCCTAACCTTACCACAAACCTTAGGGAATTTAGAGTAAATTAGTATTAACTTCATCTGTCTAGATACTAACTCTATTGATTGCTTTGTTATGTGTCTTGTTGAATACTTCAACATATATAATTAAAATGTAAAGTAATTAACAAGGATTGCTGGAAAAATCATTATTTAAATATGCACTTTGTAGTCAATTTTGACCCAGATCTTACAAAGAGTTTCACCTGTAGAAGAAGCAAAAACTTTTAAAGTGTCTGGTTGGCCTCTCTAAACTACAAATCCATTTTCAAAGTTGATATAATATCTGTATCCATTTAACCTGAGATTATGTAAAAATAGGGCAACAAAAGATGATTCTTTGTTAAGACACCTTTTCAGCAATAATAATTCCAAAGACATGGAATCAATGGATTTTCACATTTATTATGGCTAATTTTGGCTTCATTAAAAGTGCTAAAAGCCAATTTTGTTAGTGCTCTTGGTGATATTCAGTAGCATTTCACAGTGTTTGAACCCTTTATGAACCATAGTTTTTTATTACTGCCAAACATTTAATCAAAGAAGCACAAAATAGAATATACACAGTATTTTAATAGAGATTGCAAAATGCTGTTTCAGAAAGCCATTTTACTCACCAAGACACTTACACTATCTCTCAGTATGACTAAAAGAAGTACCTAGACAGAACATCGATTTAAGTTATTCTTGCATTTCATTCTCCAGAGGAAGAATATTTAAATTATTTCAGATACTGTATTTTTATGCTCTGGAGTAACAAACCCAAACCCCAAACCTTTGTTATGTAGATTGAAATAATATAATAATTAAAATTTTTTTTCAGTTAAAAAATTTAAAAAATTTCCTCCTCAATTTGCTCTTCAGCATGTTTTAATATTTTATTTTATTTTATTTTATTTTATTTTATTTTATTTTATTTTTAAGAAAAGGCTTAAAAAGGGGTATAAATTTCGGGAAGACTCAGCCCTGATCAGGATTTGCTACCAATCAACAAATCTATGCCTGCCAACTTTAGAGAGTTGTTTATTATGTCTTAGTGTTTTCTTCCAGATCACCCTGATTCTCAGTGATGAGCATGGAGATGTTTCTCTTCTGGATAATATTTAAATTTTCACTGCTATTGTCACTTTCTATAAAATATGTTTCACAAGACATACCACGAGAGCAGGATCTCTCCCTGGGGCTGGGAGCATCTGCACACTCGTGGCATGGCTAGAACACAATCTCCACAGCTGAGTATGGATGGTGTAGGAAGGAGTGGAAAAATGAAGTGGCAACACAGTGAGCAGTTCAGTGAAATATGTAAAAAAGGTTATTACTTTTCTATTTACTGTCATCAACATAGTGAAGGCAAAAAATTAATTTGTCACAATGTAGGCTGATCCAAAGGCTGTGGTAGGACTAATCAGTGAAGTGGTATGATGACCATGGCATAGAGATGGTTTGTGTATCTCCAGTAAGGGATCTTATTTGTGTGAATCTAATCCATTCCATTTGTATGGAATTTGTGTTGACTGTGGCATTTTATATTTGAGAGAACTTGTGTAAAAATTACATGGTATAACTGCATTCAACAATTGTGGGAGAGTGCAATAAATTCCAAGACAGCACATGGAACTTGTCTTTATGTAGCACTTAGAGACCACCAAGTGGCCACAGGCAAAACTCTACTGGGCTGATAAGAAAATGGCAATATAACAATGCATGAAGTACTATGACAATAATAACAACATGAGAAGAATCTGTAACTTTATGGGATGTTTATGTGGGTACAAGCCAGATCTGCAGAACAGAAGATTAAGTTGCAGCTGGACTTTACAGATCATAGAGATAATTTCCCATTCACTCCAGGGATTCTGCTTGCCTGCTCTTTGAAGCATGGATCCCTGGCATTCTAATTTGGCATCCTGAGGAGCTGAAGGAACTGCCAGTGGTTTTTTTGGCATGCATATGTTTCCACCACTTACCTCTATTCAAGTTCTCTTTCCCACTTTACATTTCACCCATTAGTGAAATAGTTTGTAGGGTATACCTTAAGAGGGGAACAAATAGCAGAGGACCAAAATAAATCGTCCTTAGACCCATAAAACTTAGAAATGAAGAATGTAGCTTTTAAAATTTTGAATAGCCCAACACTATCTTGAATAAGCTGAATATTTTTTTTTAAAGTATCAGTTAGACACTATGTTTTATATGTACTTTATTTAATTTTTTTGACACGAGAAACTGGAACTTCCCAGTAGGATATGTTAAGGAAAAATGCATTAGAGCTCACTGGGGAGAGTTCTGTCGTCTCAGCCCCAAGAGTATAATAGTTTATTAGGAGGCTGATGCCCTACACAGTTTTCTCATGGGTCCTCAGTAGCGCTCCAAAAGAGCAATACAAGATTTTAAATATTTACCCTTTTCCTTAACTTTCCCTGCATCTTGAAACCAATTTCTTTCCCTACTACTTTTATTCAAGGTTTATTAGTAATTAGAATTATGATAAATGCAAAGGACAATATATTTTATCTGAGCAAGTCTACTTTAAAAGTTTTAGTATACCTTTGTAGAAAATAAAATTATTTTTAAAGCAACCCAGTATCTTCAAATTAATTTTGGTATATTTTAATCATATGTCATCTGTTTTATGAGAATTTAGTGGCTTTGTGCAATATGGAAAAGGAATTCTCATATTTAACAGTTCATAATTAATTCAGTAAACTCACATATGTCTATTTGGAAATTGTTTATATACAACTGATAAAATGCCTACATACATAGATATGATTTGGGAACAGACTGTCACATGGTTTTGACTTGTCAGACATTCACAGATTGTTAATGATGTAGATTGCTAAAACAGAATTTGAAATATGTGTTTTGTACCAATAATTGTTATATTATACCACACTAGTCATACAACAATCAGTGATGTAAAAAAAAAAAATCAAATTCAGTGGCAAATGAACCTTTTTATTTTGGTCACAATTTAGAAATCATTGTGCTAAATTTTTGGTTTTTACATGTTTTGTGCTGTTAAGTCTAAACACATTGTAATAGCTATTCAGGAATTTATTGTGGACATTTTGCTGGGAAAAAGCAATTATTGGATTTTGATATTCCAAAAATTCTCTTCTATTTCTCCTTAACTATTTCTCCTAACTTGGCTGATTTACTTTTAAAAGTGCAGCAGGTGCCACTGTCTGATTTTGTTCATAGTGTATGTAGAAATCTAAATGAGTTAAGTCAAAGATAATCCCATTTTCTGCTCAGATTCCAGGCATCTACAATTCGCCATTCAGGAAATCCCCAGATCCAATGGAACTGCTGCTATGGCAGTCAAAGCCACTGACCCACAGAAAGCAGCAAGTGAAGAGCCCCTTTGCTGATGAGCTCTATGGCTGGCCAACCTGTAAAGAGCCTCCAGCTTTTGTCACATCACTGCCTCTGCTACCTGCTGACAGACAGAAACCTCAGGTAATGTGTTCCAGTGACTCTGTGGCAGCTTTTGCTCACATCTTTTATCAGAGATTATCACAGAATATCTTGAGTTGGATCGTCTGAAAATCCCTTTTGTGAATGGTTTTTAAAACATAAATAGAGTGCTTGCATTGAAGATATAAAGTATTTGACACAGATTTGACTTAATTAGGTGTTATGTAGGTGTTATGTAGAAACAGGGAAATATAATTCTTTATATGTTGTTTTTGTCCTTTGGGAAGAAAAGTGTAATTTATGATATTTCAAAGGCATGACCTGATATAATTGAGTATCAATATTATGATTAATTAGAGCTAGAATTCTTTCAATCTTAAATCATTAAAAAAAGGAGAAATGAAAGGTGATAGGAAAAATTAAGCAGTTGTGATAACTTTGTTCCCAGTTTGCAATTGTTTCCCATATGAAGACTGAGGCATCCTTTCAGTTCAGAACAGTTCCTGCTCTCTTGTGTCCACTAGAGGTGTGAGAGCTTTAATAACAAAGATTTCTACATATTCTGCTCCATCACAACCAATTTGCCCAGCTTCCATTATTAACTGTCATAGTCTCAATTTTAACTTCAGTTGATGTCACTGTATCTGGCAGGTAGATTTTTACCTTTTCTGTGAAGTTATGGACATCTGTGAGATAATGCATTAAAGCGAATGTCTGACAAAATGGCAAAACAGCTTTTGCGCCCTTATTATTAAAACCTGCTGGGAATGTGACCAATATATACAGCAGAAAAACTTTTGAGAGCTTTGTGTTCCACACTAGATGACAATACAATGACATGTAGCTTTTGCCAGTAGGTGCCGTATACAACTACTTTAGGGATAGAAATATTTTGACTTTCCCTCTATTCTGAAGAATTTTTCAGTTTGTCCAGTCTACTGAATCTTCTACTTAGCTCTCACATACGCTTTCCATGCTGGTTTCACTTTGAGTGACATGACATCAGAACCTCTGACACTTTTCCATTTTGCACTCCATTCTGTATTTAAATTTCCTTATTTGTATCTTGCTTAGAAAGACAATACTTCTAAATGAGTCCTTCTTAGCAACTTCCAGTGAAACTATCACCTATCTGCAGAATTGTAACACCTTGAGCAATAAGCAATGTGTATATCTATATCTTTAATGGTGTTTTACTCCTCTGAATCAATATTGTTCTCTACAACTCTCTGAGAGGAGAGCCTCTCCGAAAGGAGGCTGTAAGCCAGGTGGGGGCTTGTCTCTTTTCTCAGGCAACAGGACAAGAGGACATAACATCAAACTGTACCAGGGAAGGTTGAGGCTGGAGATCAGGAAGAATTTTTACACTTAAAGGTGGCCAGGAATTAGAACAGGCAGAACGAGGAGCTGGTGGAGTCACCAGAAATGTTCAAGAAATGAGTGCTCATGGCACTTACTGCTATGGTTTAGTTTGACAAGGTGGTGTTTGGTCAAAGATTGGATTCAATGATCTTGGAGGTCTTTTCCAACCTTTATGATTCTATGATTCTAAGAAGGTCTGTGATTCTGTGATTCTAAGAAGGCCTGTGAGAATGCCTCTGGAGAAGTAGAGGTGAGCCCACTGCTTATAACAGTAAGAATCAACTTCAAGTTCTCCACCTTTGTCCTTCCTTCCTTGTGTTCTCCCTATCCTGACTGCTTGAGATTCCTCATAGAATGACCTCATTGACTCACATTAGAATTGAGACAAAGTGTGAGCCAACAAGCCGTTTGGGTGATCAGGGAGTTTGGAGTTGACATAAACATGACATTATAGCTTTACCTTCTGGGACCAAGGGGACTGTGACAGTCCTTGAGCAGGATGTGACTGGTTGCATTGTCTCTCAGGAAAGAGGAACGCTTTTGCCTTGTGAACATGGTGCAGGAATCAGGCTTTAAATAAATAGGGAACTCACAGTTCTTCCATTGTTAAGGTGCTCTTGCAAAATTGCTTTACTGTATACAAAGTATCTTACAACCTTCTACTTGGATTTGGAATATTTTATAGACCTTTCTAAGTTCAGATGCATGCACAGCAGTCATGCACAGATAGCCTTTTAGAACAAACCAGAAGAGTTCTGTTTATTTTCTGCACCTCAAAGAGGGAATTTACTATATAATACTTTAATCCTTTCAGCACCCTGGGATGTACACTGTGGGGTAAATTTTCAAAGCACAGTGCATGGATTTAGCTGCCCGACTCTTACTGAAGTTAATGGGAGTCACACGGCTAAATCCCTGCACAACACTTTGACAATTTAGGGTTGTATGTCTAAGGAAAGGACACTGGCTTGAGCTGATGAAACAGCTGGAAATGAAAACCCATCAGAACACATCATCCCAAAAGTTGTCTGGTGTGGCTGTAAGAAATTTAATTACTAGATATACTTGTGTCCTCGTTCTTTGTGGTAACACTTTTTGGCACCAAGCTTCCTTTTCTAATATCTGCCTGGCTCATTTGTTGTTTTTTCAGGTATCTAAAACTTTTATTGCCCCTAGGTTTGGATATTTTATATGAGGATGCCAATTATATATATTTAAAAGAAAAAAAATTAACTATCTTTCAGTTTTATCCTAGGCAAATGGGTATTTAGCATTTAATAGGTAAGATCTGTGTGTGTAAGACAGTGTATTTAAAATAAAGGTTTTAATGATGCTTCTACATAAGTTAGATCTATAATTTTTATCACTGAGTTAACTAGAATTATAATTTGATAGAAACATGGATAATGCTAAAATTAGTCATCTATTCACTAAAAGGCGTTAATAACAGAATGCACCTTACCATTTAGATTTTTGCATGCTGTTGTCTGTTGTGGAATGGGGACAGTGAGGAATGCATAACTTAGTGCACATCGTACTTTTTATCATGAGTTTCTGATGTTATGATAAAGTAGTGAAAATGCTGATCTGCTAGCCCTTATTTGGCAAACCAGTTGGTATCAAGAAGATTTATGTTACTCAGCACAAATACCAAACACAGAGCATAGAGCTGTGCGAGCTTCCTTCAGGGTAAACATTTTTGGTTGACTCCTACCATTCTTTTCCTAGCTTGATCTCCCCATAAAGATTTCCATTTTGAAGCAGGGTGCCTGAAATGCTTGCAAGCATTGTCAGTTTGAAAACATTTTCTAAGCACCAATCTACCAGCCTTTCCCCAAGTCTTATTCTTGTAAATTGAAATAGACACATGGACTTTTTAGAGGTCTTCATTTAAGATACATTCCTGAGATCCCTATTACTAAGTAAATTTCTTCAAATACATTATTCAAAGGAACAGAAAAATCTTCGGGGAATGTTTAGAATTATCTCAATATTCTAATATGTACTCTACTTTTATTAGTGATGTCATGGCCTTATTTTGCAGGACCTTTGCTTAGTTACATCCTTTCCCCTCTCCTTCTATTAGTAGTTGTAATTTTATTTAAAATGTGGACTGGGATTTTTCCTGTATCTACCTCCTAGTTAGGTCTCAGAAATTAAAGATGGAGAAAAACCCTTGCTTGGATATCTGATTGGGCCCTTATCCTGGAGGAATGAGTAAATACTTTTCAGTGAAGAAATAATACAATATTCTGAAAGACTACTTTTAAAAGCAAACATGTTTTTCTTGGTATTATTTGGTAATAGTACTTTTTTTCTTCCTTCCTTCATATACCCACTTACTGCAAACATCTTGTAACAGACTATTCATTTTTTATTATAAATTTTAAACTTTTTTATAACTTGATTATCAGGTTATATATCGCTATAGCACTGTTGACTAGTTTTAATGACCTGTTCTAATATTGATTAGTCTCTCATGGGTGGGCGGTAGCACTTTTCATTCTGTTTTAGGACTTTTGTATTCTTTTAAAATAAACATATTTTTTATGCAGACTTTGAAAACAGAAGCAAGAAAATATCTGCAAGAAGTGTAAATATTATGCTCATTTGCTTACTGGGACCTTTAAAAATATCTCCAAGTCTTGGTGTTGTACCTTTAAAAAGTAAAGTTCCAATAAAAATCCATTAACTACTTTTAAATATAGCAATCCTCCTGTCCAGCTGTGAAAAGTACTAGATGATACTTATTTGCCATTTGTGTTATTTACGGTCCATGACTTTTATGGTAACTGGTTCCTATTATTGGTTTCTATTAATGTAAAACATAAGTGAACATAAATGAGGCGTGAATCATTTCTTTTTATTAGCCCCACAGTCTTCACTCAGTGCTTGCAGTAATTCCAGCTGTGACTTGTTAGTGATAACCTATTTAAAGAAGGATATCTTTAAGAATAAACGCTGTGATTAGGATTCTTTGTCTGTTCATAGTTTCAGAAGGTTTCACTAGTTCATTGCAAGATCAACAATGATGAAAATAAAAATTAATTTTAATACTCCTAAGCTCAGGCTTGCCATTAAACTGCCAGGAGTGGCACAGGCACTAATTATATTACGGTAAGTTCTTAAGGGTTAATACTCAAAGTGAAACATACAAGATATGTTACTTCAGCAGCTCAGTAGAGAACTTCCTGCTGCTATTTATCCATGTTGTTAAATGGTAGATACTGATACAATCAGTTATTAAACAAAATACTCTGGGAAAAAAAAAGACATATGTGTGTATTTTTTAAGAATTACAAAGTTAATATGAAATTAGACCTTTCAGAAATGGACTGTATGCGTATAGTACTGAAGTCATGCATTTAAATTCTATTAGAAGAACTGTATCTTAAGCCATACATTAAGTTCCCTTCCAGTTGGGTTTATAGCTACATTGAAAAGAGCGTGTTCTTTAAAGTTTGTTTTGTGCAAAGTAAAATACTTAAGTTTTCTGCTTAAGCAGAATTTAGATATAGTTAAGGCTTGTTTTTTATTTCACCAATATTCTTTTCTAAGTAAAAAAAAAAAGTTTTCCTAGTCAGTTCTAACGATATATTTGTTTAAAATGTTAAGTATTAGTAGTTAAATAAATTTGGAGTGCACTCTCTTTGAAGCTTTAGAGTATGTTATCAACCTTTGCTATTTGTAGGTCTCTATCAAAATGAACAGCTTTAATTATTTTGGGAGAAGAGTCTTACTACACTACCCAAACATTTTGTGTCCTGTTTCATCAGTGATGTGCCATGAATAAAAGAGGGGAAAGAAAAGAACTGTAACCCCAAACAGCACTTGTATTACCCTACACCTTTCAGGGGCCATTCCGCAATCCCGCTGAAGTGTTGCAGCAGCGCTACAAGCCTGTGGAACCAACCCTGCGAGTGAGAGAATCAATGTATTCACCACCAGCCAAGGCGAGAGAGCCAACACGAGGGGAGGAATGGAGAAATCCCATCCATGACAATGAGTGAGTTCTTTGGCTCTTCTTATATTGTTGTTAGAATGTTTTCTTTATTCCATTGCTTTCAGAAACCTTTCATGCCTGACAAAATGAAATGTCAAACCTGACAGCTTACTAGAAAACATTTTATGTATATACTTCTAAATTCTGTGTCCTCAGATTATAAACTACTCAGGGCAGAGACCCTATCTTGTAACTCTGTGACATGTGCCATCCATATCTATGAGTGTCTAAAAGAACTTGTAATAGTAATATGTGATGCAGCAGATGGCTTTAATGGGGAATGAGAAAACAAATGCAAATTCCATCTTGCCACATGCACCTTGCCAAGGAAAAAGGATACCATTTCAGTCTTCATATTCTGGGAGCTTACTGGTTATGGGAGGAAAAAAATGGTGTTTTGTGCCAATGAGACTTGTTCTCTCTCCCAGAAGAGTATCACAGCTCACTTGGAAGGGGAGGGAGCATATGTTGCACGTTAGAACATGATACAAAAAGTAGAATAATCTTTGAAGCAGTTTGATTGCCTAAGCCATGGCAGCTGTAATAGTGTCAGACAGGCCAGTTCTTTTACATAAAATCTCAAATACAGGCATAATCCATCACAAAAGAGTAAGGCTTCTGTCCCAAAAGATTTAAAGACTGTTGCCAAAATATTTCCTTTTTTCTTTTTTTTTTTTTTTTTTTTTAGCACAATTGCTGTTAAACACTGTTTTATCCAATCATAATAAAAGCCTACTAAGTCACTTTCTCTGGCTTTGTAGTTAACTAGAAAAGGAATTATGTTTTGTCAACCTTTTCCTTGAATTTACTGCTCTTGGCAATCCTTTGGTCCTTCAATACCAGAATTCAGGACAGAAGGGAATCACTCTTCCTCATGAACAGCCTGTGATCACTGGCACATGATGTTTTGCTATCTTTGATCTGTTTTAGTGCTTTTTTATCAGCTCCATGTTGCTATGTGTCAGCTTCAGGACTGGGACTTAAGAGTGCCAGAATCAATTGTGTTTACATGGTTTAGCTTCTATGTTTTTATTGTTGGACCATTTCCCCCAGTTTAATATTAATAGTATCTTTGAATGAAAATTGTATTCAAGAGCAGTTTTGAAATGAAAAAAAAATTTTAGTAAACTACTTTTTCACTTTTGGACAACATTTTTGGTGGGTTTTTTTTTGTTTGGTTGTTTTTTTGTGGGTTTGTTTGTTTGTTTAGTGAGAGATAACACTTTTTATTCCTTTCATACCAAAATCATAAGTGAGTACAATTACAAGTACAAATATACTCCCTTTTCTGTTTCTCTCTGTATTCTTTCATGTACTGATGTGAGGAGGAGGAAACAGCTTAATTTTCATAACTCAGCATAAATTTCTACTTTTTTGTTTTCATTTTTATATAAAATTTGTGCTGGTGAAATTTTAAAGAATCCCTATCACCAGGCAGTAATTAATACTCTACCTCTCATTTAAAGTGTTTTTTTCACTGAATTAGTTGTTATTGATGCCTTCCAACTGAGGATAGATGATGTTCTTCATTTATAGGCATGACTACCTTGCCCAGTCTTTATTTGATGAAGTTTACCCCAGATATTACTGTGTCAACACTTTCAGAAGGTCAGACCTTGCAATGAATGTTTCACTGACTCTTCAGTGAGGGAATTGTGAAGATTTGGTCTTGTACAGTTTAAATTTGAAGCCTCCAACTTTGGTAGATATTATTTCATGTGGGTCTTTATTTACCTTATGGGTAAGGAAGCATTTAATGCCATCCTTAATGCACAGAAGCAATGTCCCAACAATCAATGATTCTCAGCTTCATGCACACTAAATGCAGAGTGTATTATACATTTTCAGGCTGTGAACATTACATTTGTGCTTCTTATTCAACCAGCCATGCAAGGGTCACATCTGTAACATTGAAAAGGTGATAACAGAGCTGCAGGTCATCACCAGGACTAATGCTCACTGGCAATGCTGCAGCTGCTGCATGGGATGTTGGTCGGCAGAGAGGAGCCAGCAAAGGGTTACTCAGATTCTACAGTGGTTTTTTTCTCAGCAGTGTCTATTATGAATTGACAAATTTCCATTTCTTGCTATGTAATTGTGTACTTTGGGACTTTATTTCTTCCTGGTTGTGCTTCCTCTGCTGATTATTATTTTGTTTTAGAAAATAAAGAGAGAATGAGCAGCAGAACTATGTGGCATTTGTTGAGAATACTTGTGTTTGCATGAATGACATTTGCATTGATATGTGTATTTCCAGAGTATGTATTTTGTGGGGTGACACAATAAGATTGTTGGCATGTACCTGAAATTTTCAGCAACATTCAGAATTCTCACTCACATCTTATTATCAGTGGTTGTTTACAGGATGATAGGATGAGTATTGCAAGCTCTGAGAAAGTTCTTGTGTTTGATAAAATGCACAAAAAATTTGGAAAAGGTGTGAGAGAGTTTGAAGCAGGCAGAAGCAATGAAACCAAGAGAATTTACTGTGCTCACTTAAAGCAACTGCTGGAATTTCCTTTTCTGTAATGGAAAAGCAACTGGGTAGTCCAGCCTAATAAGAATGATTCCTCTTTCTCATGTAATTGAAGCTGTTACTACCTTATTGTGCTATTTTTCATACAAATGAAGTGATTTCCTCCTCCACTTGGATAAGAATGACAATTGCATTCCTTTGGGATAGCCATCTAATATAGCGTCTAATTTGAGACAACTGCTGGATCCAGCAGATTTAGAAGAAGCATAAAAAGTTCTTTCCTCAGTTGTGTGCAGGCACATGCTGGCCTAATTTTCCAGAGAACAAAAATGTAAATTATTTTCATTAACTGTGATGAAATCTGTCTCATATAATATGTCTCATACTTCAAAGTATACTATTAAACATCTTTATGAAGTCAACAAACATCAGAATGAGATGCAGTGTGGTGACAGCAATAGTGTAAGGCTTAGGTTTCCTAATTTATTGTAGGCTTCTGGCATGACATAAGAAACATTATCTCAGCTTCTGGCTGTGTCTATGTGCCTCTTCAGCACAGCACTGAGCAGTCTGGTCCTGGTCACACTGGTTCACTCGTGCAGCAATGTTTCCACATCCTGCCTCTCCTGTGCTGTGTGAATACAGCAGCACCCAGCTCCTCATGGATTTATTTCCAGCAAGATCGTGTTTTTCTTTAGAGCAGCTGAGGTGCTGCTGTGCTGCCCTGTGCTGGGCAGGACAGAGATACTTGCAGAAGAATTAGTGACCTAAACAAGCTCTGTACTTGGAGAGCACTGATGTTATGAGCTGCCTGCTATTAATTATAAGAAAACTTCACATGCAAATCACTTTAAGATTTAGAGTTTTTATAAAATCTTTTAATTTCTAGAGTTATAAAATCTTTTACTGTATTTCTGATTTAGCTGCAGTGAAAATGACTACTACATTTTTTGTCATACAAACACAACACATATGAAAACCTTTTTCAAATTATACTTAGTTTGTCACATGCTTTGCAACTTCAGCAATTTGCATATTTTCTGGACTGTTATTGTATTGCGATAAACAGGGATTATCATATATTTTCAGATAGTGTTTTCTTAACAACTCCACTTCTATTTGTAACTCTTCCATTTATTTTAATTACTAGCACAGTGTGCAACGTTTATTAATCAGCAGAGTCTTTTTAAGTTAAAATACTAAATTAGCTAACCCCATTAACACAGAATACTCCAAACAAGCAGTAATAGGAGAGGTAGTTACTGTGCAAATCGTATTATACGTGTGGGTGCTCTAGGGCACAGTTAAGCATGATTACCCTCTTTTGATCCAGTATTCCTCTGCTTCTTTCAGCTAATTTTCACTGGAAATTTACAAAGTAGCGCCTTCATTTTCCATCTTAATTTTTCTAATGATGTTCTGGTACTTTGTAACACTGGGGATGCAGATAATAAGTCTGTGTATAATTAAGAAGTTCCAGAATTTGCTGCAGAAGAGATCTCTTTTACTTCCTACAGGAACTATGCTTTTTTTTTAATTTATTTTTTTATTTTTTATTTTATTTGCCACATTACATTATCGCTGACAGGGGTTAAATAAAAATGGCCAGAGAATTTTTAGATTTACTGATGCTACAGTCAAAGTGATTGATACTTTTTCAATAAACCGTGTATTTAGTATATTACCAGAAACAATATTTGTACTAATGCACCCAAGTAGGCTTATCATGGCAAAATACTGCACTAAAGATAATGTCACTAGATATGTTAAATAAAATATTCCATCTTTATTCTTGTATCTAACACTTTGATTTTAATATACATGCATTATAAGCTAAATAATGTCTGCCCTGCTCCAGTTGTTTTGCTATGGAAAACCATTATACTTCCTTCTTTGTTTCTCAAGTGAAAATATTGGATTTGATGAAAAAATTACTTCAGGTATAATACAAATTTGAAAGCTTAAAATTAATGTCATGTTTTATTAAAGAAAAAGAAGAAGGTAAAATATTCACAGATTCCTGATAGAGAAGCATGGTTTGCTTGGAGCTAATTGTTCATGGCATTCTTCAAAGCCAGATGAATTTTAATTAAATCAAGACAACAAAGGATTTAATTGCTATTGTATAAAAACACTTTGAATAAAAATTTAACAATGTCATAGAGGTAATATTTTGATGGCATTTTTCCTACTAAATTACAAAAATGTACAGTACATACAAATGTAAAAGTTTGAAAAGCCATGTAACAGTACTCTGTTTTATATTTCTGACTGTGCCCTGGCAGTGCAGCACACGTGGCAGTCCAGCAGTAGATCTGGCAGTTCTTTCTCAGAAGCCTGGGTATGTTTTGAAGCTTTTCTGGGATCAGGATTACCTGCTTGCTCTGCTAGACTGCTGAGATTTTGCCTCTTGGGCAGATTCAGAGAACACACTGAGGGAACACTCCGGTTTTTGTGGCCATTTAAATTTCAATAAAAAGTCACTACCTCTGTCCTATTGGTAGGTTCCATATAGCATTGGGACACTGTTGCCCAGCAGTCAGTGATGGACCTGGGAAATTCTCATTCCTGCTTGCGCTGCTGTGTTCCTCTCACACTGCCGTAGACACCAGAAACCAATTTCTGCTGCTGCTTTTGTCATCTCTGTCAACCCAGTTCGAAAACCTTCAGCATGTAAAAGGCCTTTTCCATCTCCTATCAAAGTAGTGAGAGAGATTGCAATAAAAGAGGCAGACTAAAGGGAAGAAATGGTAGGTGAGGAATGTAGGAACAAAAATCATGGAGGAAGAGTGTAAACGTGTGAGGGGAAAAAGGTTTAGAAAGATGAACTTTATAGTAGAAGGAAGGTCCAGGACAGGATGAGAGATAAAACCATTTTTATTTTTGTTAGCAACAAATATCTGTAGTGTCTTTGAAATTTAAATATCTCTAGCAGCTGTCAGGTCCTGGTTTGGCTACTAAGTGGGGCCTTCTAAGTCTTTTTAGGCTAATTACATTGGGGTCCTGGCAGCAGTGTAGCTGGCCTTCATCACCAGTGACACAGCCAGCCTTGGTCCTCATCCTTCCCAGTTTATGTATGAGTAATACTGCCAGTTGTAGTTTCCCATTTTTGCTTCCAACCCTTTCTTCATTTTGATTGTATTCTTTGACATATTTCTCATTCAGGCTGATATTAAATAATTTTTCAATTTTCAATATATTTATTTAGGGAAAGTTCACCTTCCATTAAGTCATCTTTTGGGAAGTCTCAGCTTATACTAAATTTTTCTTATAGCCCAATAAAACATCAATACAGAATTTAATTCTTCTTTGACTGGTACTTCTGTCTCTGTCATGTTTATTGAAAACATTTAAGAATTTCTGAATTTACAATTAAATCACAAGGAAAAGCTGAAAACTAGATGTAGGAATAATGAGTGAATGTTTTGAAACCTAAACTTGTATAGGATAATGGTATCCTATCATGGTTTGAATTTAATGCTCTTCTTCCATCACTCTCTTCCATCACTTTCAGAGCACATACTGTCATTAATTTGGGAGAAGCTGTGTCAGGTGTATACAAAGAGGTACAGAACATAACATTACTGAAGTGTTTTGCAATGCTATTACTTCTTCTTATTATTATTTGTTGGGGAGATGTAATGACTTTGGTAGTACTTCCATTAATTTGGTTACCCTACTTAACAAGAAAAATTGTTGCAGTTCTTTTAATTACTTATTCATATAACGTAAATTCTCACTTACTTTAAGCAGACACTGAATTTACTGATCGTTTCTTGTTGCTAGAGAATCATCACTTTAAGGATCTGCCCCCTGACTCTGAGAGCAGAACTGTAAACAGAAGAAAAAGCTTTTACTTGATACTATTATCCCCTATTATATTTTTTTTCTTTCATTTAAAAGAAAATACTCCTAGTTATGTCTCAAAGTGTTACTTTCGGGGTATTTTTTTGAATCATAGTAGAACCTACGTTACTCTGAGAATTTGTTTGCCAAAAAGGCAAAGATTAACTGATCCACAGTAAAATCAAAACCTCTATGTAGAATTTTTTTTTTTTAGTAAAACAATAATAATTTACTTCTACTTTCCTCCAGATTTTTAATTCTTTTGTCTGTAATGCAGTTTAAAGACATGGCATTCATATTAAACTATGAATGCTCTGGCTCAACTAAATTCTGTGCATATATGGATGGGTAAATGCCAAAACTGCAAGCCTTGTCTTCTCAGCTATCCAATCCCCTGAGAAAGCCAATTTTCTTTCATGTCTGAACAAAAGAAAAATGCATTATTAAAATGCAATTCAGAAGTGATAAAAACTGCAAGTGGAGCAGCCGGCTCACAGCACCTTCGATGCATTCTCTGGGACACTGGGGCCACATTAATTTTTGTGTGTGTGTGATGTCCATCCCATGTGCAAATTAGCATTACAAGTACCCTAATCTGTCTTGTGTGAGGGTGTCCTTTCCCATGGGTATACACATGCTACCATGGCTTTTTATTATTTAAAAGTCTGCTAACTCAGGGTTTTTCTTTCACTAACTTTACATGGCATTTGTTTGTGGCACGTGATAGAAGTTGATACTGCTGGAAAGATTCTAAAACTATTTATTTTTATGAGGTGGAAAGAAAGAAAAATAATTTTAAAAAACACTCAAACAGTTTTTGATAAATCAGTTAATCAAAAGAAATAGTTTTCTGCATCTGTGTCAGCTGAGAGTCAAAGAAGAGTATTTTAATCCTCATTTTTATAGAAACTTTGTTTGCCTAACTCTTATGGGGACTCTGGATTCTGAAAAGCTTTTGTCTAAGGAAGTGTTCTAATTAACTATGCTTCTTGTCATAGGATTTAAAAGTGATGTTGTCGACTTCTGAAGCATATCTTTCTAATTTTACCGAGTAATATATTTTCCCGCACTTCTAGAATTAAGAACACGTGGATTTTTTTCAGACTACCAGCAATGATAAACTTAATTCACAGTGTTTTACTTAATAGTAAAATGTACTTGTTTGCTCTCATGACTCTCCTGGAAATTGAAATAGATGAAACTAAGATGTGTTTGTAGGGTGTCTTGCAGATCTTCTATATACAACATGTTTTTCACTTTCCTTCATACAGTTTGCTGTGGAACCTACCCAAAAAACCTGTGGTTGTCCCTGACAGTTAGGGACATCCATCTGAAAACTCCTTCCAGCAGGTAGCTGGATCTTCACTGCTTGCTGGCACTATGTAAGCAGCAAGTCTATCATCTTTATCACCGAAAATGAAAGAACCGGCTCAAAAAGATTGCTAATTAGGACATAATTATAACTTAAGAGTGAAGTGCACAGCCTCTGAATTCTGAAGAAACAATTTGTCTGTTTTGTGGTTTACAAATATGTGCAAGTTTCTGTTCTGTTAAATGAAAATACGGTTTATTTAGCTTTGGCTATGACAAAACAAAGGATGCCTGTCTCCAGAGATGATGTCTGCCCTCGTGCATGGGGTGTGCCTGCTGCCGGCAGCTGGCACAGGCTGCACTCTCTGCCAGCGCCTGAGGTATCAGCAGGCACCTCCCAGCAAAGGGACCACTGATCGTCCTGCACATTCCACCAGTTGTCTGTGCAGATACACACGAAGTAATAATCTACTAATGCAAGTGAACCAAGTTAGATCCTTGTGCACAAAGTCTTCATTTTATCCTGTTAAAACTCCTTGTCTCTTTGCTCCAAATTTAATCTGCAAAAAGCTGCAGAAGAAATTGCAGTAATCCTCTCCCAATACTGAGAGGGAACATTAAGAAGGTAGTGAAAAATATCAGGAACATATGTCCACATCATCTCCTGCAGCACTGATTTACATCAATCCTGTGGCATCTAGAGAAGAGCATAACTGATTCTAAAATATTTTGAATTTCAGATTTCTGCCATTTTCTTCATATCATAAAAATTATGAGAAGTATGAGCCATCACTTTTTAAGTCAGGCAAATATGGCCAAGAAGCTTATGGAACTAAACATTTCAGAGAAGTATGTCCTAAGAAGTGGATAACAGACAAGGTAAGTCACTGCAAAATCAAGAATGTATTTACTTTTTTAGATTGTTGTTTTATTAGAACTGAGTGAATTTCAGTATAATCCAGAGATCATGCAATCCAACAGGATTCTTTCTAGAGGGTGATCTCAAGAGGTCTCTTCCTACCTTAATGATTGTTGAGGTTTGTTTGGGGGGGCTCCCCAGGGAGTCCCCAGAGGGCCCCTTAAGCTGTGAGATCGCTGGTAGCACCCAGCCGACAAGGAGACTCCGCACGGCTTCTGAGGGTGCTAATTAGATGAGGGTTTATTGGGGGGTCCCACCCCCGGGAGCAACATGGTTTCTGAGGGAGAAGGGGGGAAGGGGGAGGGAGGGGGAGAGAGGGAGAGCCTAGGGAGAAAGGGGCCAAGAGAAGGTCTCGTCTCCATTGCACAGCTTAACAGGGAGATTGCAAGTGCGCGCGGAATAAGACTTGGGCCAATGGGATTACAGATACATGAGACTTCAGGGCAGGACCACAGGCTTGGAATAAACCGTACATTTTGGAGGGGTGAGACAGAGCATACCATTTAACTAAAATGTAACACCACAAACAATTGTGGAATTTTGTAAGATATAATAAATTATTTCCTTGAGAGCAGTTTAACCCTTGCAAATATACAGCAAGTTCCATAGAAGCTTAGCTTGAGAAGGGACATTTTAAAAAGATTTTTCATCAAAACTTTAAAAATTAGCTCAGAGTAAAGTTTTGGTATTTCGACATGCATTAACTGTATCTCCTTGCAAATAAAAATCAAAAGTCAAACAAAAATATTTCTGTATTTCAAAGACAAGGAGTGGAAGATATGACTGGCTGAAGTCCCACAGCATAAGTATGATATATAAAAAGGACCTAAATATCTTATTTCTGGTACTTGTCTTGTCCTGTTAAGACTTTGTTTTCCAGTTCTTAGCAGTTCTTGCTCAGGCTCAGATGATGATATCAAAAACCTAAAGATATTTATACTGTATATAATATCACACGTATGTAAACTATGGGTTTAGCTAAAATAACTCACTTGTGATCTTGAATAGATACCAGCCTAAATCTCTGGTGGTGAATAGCCGTATACATTAACCCAACATGACACAGAGCCTTCCAACCCCAATTCTACATCAATATGAAGCTTCCATTAGGAGCCTCTTACCCCAGCAGAGAGATAAGAGGAGAAAAGGGCTATTTATGACATATCTACTGCTTTAATGGGTCATTATTATCAGGAAAAAATCCAAAAAGAACCACAAAACCTCAAGCTCCTCATGCAGTTTAATGGAAAGAGGCCTATAGGCAGGTGTGAGGTCATACTTTCCTAACTGTTAAATTTGATAGAACTCTGTGTCTCTTATTTCTAAACTCTATGAAAACTTTGAATATATCAATGAGAAAAATTACCTGTTCTAATGAATCACAAGACTGATGGACATGTTAAAAAATTCTAGAAAACAAAAAGGATTTTTGCTTAATAGCTTGTCTGCTGAACATAACCCTCTTTTGACTTTACCACAAGGTTATATCTCCGTGGATGCAACCTCTATTACAACCTGAATAACTGATAACACTGCCATGATCTCTGTCCAGTTTCTGACAATTTTATGGTAAACAAGTTTCTTGTGTTGTTGCTGGTAAGGCTGTGTAAGTTCTTTCAAGGACTCAAGTCAGTGGTCAGTTGATCAGTGACCTGTCTGAGCTGCTGAGGTATTATTTAATGGTAGTTGATATTAGATGGCTTTTTTAAAATATTAAATACAAAAAGTTTCTTTTTGTGTGTGTGTGTGTGTGTGCATGAACATGTCCTAGTTGTATTTTCCAGAGGTTTTCTTGTGTTTATTACTATGCAATTTAATTCAAGTCACAAAAAGATTAGTATGTAAATTATATAATTACTTTAGAAGCAAAATGAACAACAATGAAAAATATTATCTTGTTACATTTCTTCTGGAAAATGAAAGGATGTTAGCATAGACTACCTCTAATCATAATAATTACCATATCTATGTGAGGAAAAGTTAGTAGTTCTTTTTTCATCTAGTTATCATCTGAAAATTTTTATCTCACTCCGTTTACATTTGAAAGAATTTTGAGTTAAGGGAAAAATGTTCTCTTCTAATTCTTCATTGTAAATAAACAAGGAATGAAAATACTATACTTTTAGTGAAACTGAATCTAGTTAGTTTACTCAGTAAATCAGTATAAAACATAAAATTTTAAGTTACACCATCTATCTAAATACATTGGAATGCCTTTGATAGAATTAATGTAAGAAGTTTCAATATAAAAAACTTGCTAGTCACTAGGAATTTAGTCTACAATGATAGATTCCAGTGTAGATGGACAGCCAAGGGATCAAATACACTAACTATAGTCTTTTAGCTGTCAAAACACTCACATATGTTCATATTTGCTGAGGCAGAAATAATGGCTTACAGTCTTTAATCAGTATTGGAATTAGTTTGCATATGCATTTTAGAAAACTGACTTCAATGACAGCATTTAATGTTTTCTTATTTGTAAAATTCAGGAACTGATAGTTTAAGATGTTCCATTCTGATAGATTCTTCCCTCTGATGCCTTATTATAGGTGAATTACAGTGCAACTGAATCACAGTTTCATTATTTGCACAGGCATTTTGGCCCGAAACAAGATTTTATTATCTACAAAGCATAAAAATACCCAGGACTGCAAAGAATTAATTTAGAGAACCTAAGCATATTGCACAGAACATAAAGTTGACCTTTACCGTCTACAGCTTTTGGAATGGAGTGGGATGTGGAACACATTGTAGATTTAATGTGGCACAACACTGTCTGCAGAAACTTGGGTGGGACTGTGACTGTCTGCCCATTGCACCCGATGATTGAATCTGCTGTCACCAGCATCCTGATAATAATGAACATTCAGCTTAACGACCGTGATTATGATTATCATAATTGATGTGCAAGTGCAGTGTGTGGGGATCATTACAGCTGAACTGTACAGCAGAGAAACATGCCTTAGTTATAGATAATTTTACTTTTATGCATTGATTGGGATAAAATACACCTTTCAAGTTCAACAGGCCAGCTTTATATAATTTTAGTAAGATTTCTACGTGTATGAATTGATGTTTATGAGCTTCCTGCAAAACATTGATTGTAGCTGTTTGTTTTGAATTGTTTCATTCCATTAATAATGGGAAATAATTAAATAATTAGATGTCTGGTGGAAATCACTTATAGAATATTGCCAGCATTAATGAAATATCAACTTCAGATAATTCTGATTATCATGGTCTTGCCTGGGCTAGGAAACATAGCTCTTGTAATTCACCACCAACAGAATTCTACTTCTGCTGGAGCAATGGAAGCAGGGTTGTAGTCAACACTGGCATTTTCACAGTGTATTGTGTAGCCATTAGAGCAAGCAATAGTTTTTCCATGTATAAATTGTATCAACTTCCATCTTTGTCACCAGAGGCAGAGAATTACAGGCTCAATTCAGCCAGGGTAGGTAAAGGCACAATCAACAGCTTCAGTCAATTTTATTGAACAGTGATTGCCTTCAACTGTGATTGCATGAAGTTGCGGAAGTATTTAATTAAATCATGACACATATAACAGATAAAAATAAGTATGAGTATATATTCCAAGCCAGAATTTATATAAAGAATGTTACAACATAAATATAATGAAAAGTATAGTTTCATTGCTTTACACTAGGTATAAATTTGGCTCTTCGTCCAAGAAGTGACAGATTTTCAATCTGGGTTAATAGAGAAAACAGAAAAATTCTTGTAGTGGGAGAAAGAGATTTTGTGTGTTTGAAAATTAGTTTTATCTCTTGTAAGACATAAATGCCAACACATAAAACAGTCATGTCTAGTGGATGATGTCATTATGAGATAGATTTTTGATACACTATTTCTTCTTTCCCATCCCTGTCTATACTGAAATTTACTTAAATTTCACCTTAACTCCATTTTTCTAACCTTGAAGTGATTTGACTTGAGATCATAAGTGTGATCTGTGTGAAGTTTTAAATTCTTTCTTGCTCAGACTGTGACTTCATTTCTATCGAAGGAATTTGCTTGTTTTCATTTTAATTAGAAAAAAAGATTATCCAAGAACATTTTCTAGTATGGTGTGATACTGGCTAATGAATGTGCATCTGAACTGTCAGCTTTATTACCTTTTAAAACTTTAAAGGCCATATTTACCAGTGTGTTTTGTGACAGAAGTTACTATGTACATGAGAAGTGCTAGCACATTTTTGGAATATCAGATTCCTAGCTCCCCAACCAACCTCAGTGTCTTTTCCTAGGCAATACAGATCTCACACAATGTGGCAGCCAGAAGGGAATTATTAGATGGGCTGTAAGAGTTTGCTTGTTCCAATACTGGTTTCCTCATGAGCCATGGCAGGGATAATAAGGGTCGTTGCCAAAGTGGAATGCACTGCAGTGACCCCCAACCCACGACATGGCTCCTGTATGGTTATTACTGCTGGCATAACTTGATGTATCTATTCAGATGCTCCAAGTGGACCCTTAGTTTGAGTTAGCAACTATCTGCTTCCAACAAAACACTGCTTTCTCTCACTGTTTTTTTTTTTTTTTTTGGTATCCTGAGTTCTGAACCAAAATAAATCATTTAAATACAAGGATCTGGTCCTATAACAATATATACTGTACTGTTCATGAAAAGTCTGTCTGTTCTATCCTGTAACATATATTTTTCTGCTCTCAGAAGAATCACTTGGAGTCAGAATGCTGCTATAAATAGTGTTTACTTTCCTCCACATAGGTTGATTCCCTCAACAGCATTACTCTTTAGAGCTGTGAGCTCCATGGAGCTCAGGTGTCTGGCTCCCTGATTAGATAGTACTGAAAAAGAGCAGTGTTGCCCAGTTTAATACCACAGAAGAACTTAATAGGCAGGTGGTCTCTGAAACTGGGTAACAAAAAGTATCTTAAAGTAACTTTTGCAACTTCTACTTCTGATTGCTTTCTC